GTCATTCTGTTGCCCAGGCTGGAGTGCAGCTCACTGCAACCTCCGCCTCCTGTGTTCAAGTGATTCTCATGTCTGAGCCTCCCGAGTAGCTGGGACTACAGGTGCATGCCGCCACACCCAGCTAATTTTTATATTTTTAGTAGAGACGAGATTTCACCATGTTGGTCAGGCTGGTCTCGAACTCCTGGCCTCCTGTGATGTGCCCATCTCAGCCTCCCAAAGTGCTGGGATTATAGGCGTGAGCTATTGCACCCTGCCAGCCTGGTGGAACTTTTCTTTCTGTAAGGACTCTTAAGTCAGCTTCCTGGGGTTGACTCCTGGGTTTTGCCTTTTTGCGTCTCTCAGTCATCAGGGCTGCCATGGCACAGAGGAACCCATTCATGGTTCCTGTAGACAGAACACAATGTGAATGGCACCCCCTGGAGTTGTGCAAGAGATGACCCAGCTACTCTTCCCCTTTTATGTGGTGAACAAGCGTGCATTGAGTGCCTACCATGTGGCAGATATTGCTGGGGAGCTGGGGATTCTTTGGGGAATGGGCAGACAAGCGTCTTGTTCTCAGTAGCTCACATCCCACTCTTAATTTGCAAAGGGGACAGTACTACTATCCAGCTTGTAGGATTGCTGCAAGAGCTCAACAACCAGGGACAAATGCGAAGTGCTTACAGTGGTGCCTGACACGTCATGCTCCAAAGTTGTTAGCTATCACCGTTTATTAGGATTCCTGAAACAGCCTGGTGGGGCAACATAGATAATACGTTTTTTCCTCTTATAATAAGTTCTACGTGTTTCAAAGTGGTAGCAAAGGAATCAGCTCCTGCATTTTGTCCTTAATGGTCGCACATTGCTTAACAACAGGGATACATTCTGAGTAACGCGTTGCTGGATGATGTTGTGGTTGTGTGAAGATCATAGAGCGTGCTTACACACATCTAGATGTGGAGCCTAGTCTGTGCGTATGCTTTGTGGGATAGCCTCTTGCTCCCAGGCTATAAACCTGTGCAGCATGTCATTATACCGATTGTAGGCCATTGTGACCCGATGGTGAGTATTTGTGTATCTAAGTATATCTAAACATAGAAAACATATGGAAAAAATATGTTTTTTTTCTTTTCTTTTTTTTTTTTGGAGACGGAGGCTCATTCTATTGCCGAGGCTGGAGTGCAGCAGTGCGATCTCAGCTCACTGTAACCTCTGTCGCTAGGTTCAAGCAA